GTCTCTGTTTCTCGCTCCAGCAAAACTTTGATAACGCTTTTAAAAGTGCTGTGGAGGGGACAGGCCCTGAGTCCCACCCTCTCAAGACCACCTAATCTCACAGAGTACTTCCCACTAACGCTGCTATGGCAAACAGTATCTCTTTTTAACAGGAGACCTGGTGACAAGCCATGTCACCCTGATGGTAGGATTCCAGCTGTTTGAGCAAAAGGAGAGAGACAAAGACTTCCTCTGCTGGCCTTCCCCACGTGCCACGTGCAAACTGCCAGCCTGCCCATCCCCAGGGTCTACTCTTAAGTGTTACTATCACATTAGTTTATACTTTCTTCCTACTAGAAAAGAGGGCAGAATGGTTCCAGGGTCACGAGTAAGTACACTTGTATTCGCAGCATCAGGCCACTGACTGTACATCTTAACACGTAATTATTTTTGTTGCCTTTCCTCCTGGAAAGAAAAGATGATCAGAGAGGCGAAGTTAATTTGCATCTGCTTCAGCCATAAATCCAAGAGGACCACATGGCTAACGTACATCTCTCGCAGTTTTAAATACAAATGATCCTCCTTCTCTCGGGCCTGCAGCAAAGGGCTCGGCGAGACGAGTCCTCTAGGCCTTCAGAGTTGGAGCCGCAGGTCAGCCCCCAGCTCTTCTCAGCGTATAGGGCTCTGAAAAGGAATCTCAGGGGTTTGGAGTGGGAGACACTTTGGTTTGGTTAGGTTTGGTTTGGATAGGTTCGGTTAGGTTAGCTTTGGTTTGGTTTGGTTAGCATCCTCACACCTGGTAGGAAGATATCTCTTTATCTTCATGACGGGGCCCAAGTAGGAACCAGGAGTCCTGACAGTTCTCTGTTACAGGAAAAAGACAGAAAATCCTCCACTAGAGAGTCTCTCTTGATTCTGATGTGCCTCTTAGTTTCCAAAGCTGATGACAAAAATATGCACACCTTCGAGTCACGTTGGTCTGGTTTGGCATTCTGGCTCTGCCGCTTCCCAGCTGTGTGATTTGGGGCAATTTACTTAAGCTCTCTGAGCCTCAGCATCTTTGTCTGTAAAATGGGTATGTTGGTAGCTGCATCAGAGGGTGGCATGCATTTAGCGAAGTCGTGAATGTTAAGTCTTAGTGGAGCGTGGGGCCCCATCGCTGGGCTGGTATCTGTTTAACAATCGGCTCTCCATGACTAAATGTTTCCCAATTTCCCTGGTGTAAATACTCTCACAGGGCTGATAGCAAGCTACCCACAGCCTGTCACTGAATGAAGACTTGGGAAGAGACGCCCAGTAGCACATGATTATACAGTGTTTCCACCACACAGGTACAGTGGAAGCAAGTGACCTCAAGAGCCGAGATGACCATCTGACGTAGTAACACAATGAGGAAGTGATGAGTATTTACGACCCTTGTATTTTGAGTATTTATTACCTGTGTTTTTAACATAATTTATATAATTATAAGTTCACAAAATTAAAATTTTCACGGTGGCTATTTAACAAGTGGCTCGCAAAATGCCTGCAATAGGTAACGACCTGCGCTCGTGGCTGCTACAAGCCGCCAGCTCCAGCAGCGGGCAGGACACGCAGTCAGTGAGTCCGACTTCCCTTCCCTCTTCCTTTCCTCCTCAGCCCCGGGGAGGATTTCATGAAGCTTTCCCAGGTAGAGACCGAGATGTTCCCTGTTCCACTGCAGGCTCCAAGCTTTGCCTGTGGCCTTGGCCACCATCCCTGTCCTCGGCCCTGTCACGCCGCCTGACTGGCCCTTGCACAGCTGGGGAGGCTGAACCACCACTAACAGCAGGGAGGACGTTTTCTCCGCGAGGCTGGGGCGCACGCGGGACAGCGCAGGGCTCTCGGTGGCTGCGCCGTGGCTGGCCGTTTATTTTAGGATCCCGCCTGTGGAGGAGATGGTGGGGCAGGGCCAGCAGACCGTACTGGGGCAAGTCGGGGCCTATAATTAGCCTTCACTGAGGTTTGAAGGAACCCTTGGTTGTGACTAAACACCAGCTAAAGCAGCGAGGGCTCCAGCGTCCCTGAGGCCAGCGCTGCACCGACCTCCTAGGACACACCTGCGGACAGCTTATCCCGGGAAGCGCTCCTGTCCTCAACCCCGAGGGAGGGCGAGGAGCAAGGACACGGAGCGGCGCCCCTCACCTCGCCTTCCAGCAGCTGCGTTTCCTGCCGACTCCTTGGCGGCTGGCTCGGGCAGCCTCTTACTTAAAGAGTTTGCCATCTGCTGGGGCCACGGTACAAATTCACCCGCTCGGTGCTGTGGTCGCCGGGAAAGCACGGCGAAGAAGGAAAGCCATGCAAATGCAAGCGGCCTTGATTCCCGGCGCCGGGACTTGGGGGGATGGCATTCCAGCCTTCTTTCTGCTTTTCCAGAGTTGTGTGACTCTAAGTAGGATACACATCTATCCCACACACGCCCCAGAGTTTTGTTTTCAGTTTTACTTTTTCTGTTGCACCCCCTGGGTCCCAGGTTTAAAAAACAGGAACAGATAAACAAAATGAAGCTGCTCAAGTGAAGAATTTAAGTTCAGGGTCCTTCATTCGTACACGCCCCTTTGTATCGGACATTTTTTATCCTTTTTCTTAAAGCCAGTCTCCCAAATTCTCTAAGCTCCAGGCGCACGTCTGCCCCTGCATGGCCACCTGGTCTACACCACTTTTGAAGCCTATCTTCTCTACCGTGGTAGTTCTGAACCCACAGTCTAGACGCTTGGGGTCCCACACCAGGGGGAAATATTTGCCACGGGCATCATTGTGAGAAATCAAGCAAGGCGATCGCCTGGGGCTTCAAATTCGTCATCTGCAAAATGGCATCACTGAGAGTTCAGAGATTGGGAATGGGGCTTCTGAATGTGGGAGATGCAGCGGCCAAAGGAGGAGGAGGCGAGGGCTCGGCCAGAGCAGCCAAAGCCAGCTCTCAGAGAGGCCTCCCAGGGCTAGAGCCCTTTGGATGAACTATAATCAGTGGCATTAGCTACACTTTCTTATTTTCTGTACTCTTGATGCTCTGGCATCTGGGGCCTCACTCATGGGGAGAGATTGCCCCTTGCAGGGCTAGCTAATCCTAGACATGGTAAACCATTTGCCTGTGAGCACGCCTCCCGTATGCAAACCAGCCATTCCTAGGTCCATACCCCTACCTACCTCCTCTCTCTGCTCTATACTCCAGGAGGCAATATTCTCCTGCCCTAATCATCTCAGGTCTGGGTACCAAACAACTAGGGACCAACCCTCCAGTCCAGAGACCACTGAAATTATTCAAACTATCCAATCCTAGCTGCTTACCCTGCCTCGCCCTTTGCTTCCCGTGAAAACCACAATAAAGCCATTTGCCCATACTTTCTCCTCACCCCTCTGCTTCCTGACCAACCCTGGTGCCTCCCCACATGGCCCTGCCTGGTGTGGCTGCCCCATCCTCTTGGGAACTGTGAGTAACAAATGATCTTTTCAGTGTCAGTCATCTCCTGATCTGTTGGCCTCACCACACCTGAATAGAAGCAAAATCCTGGGTACATTTTAAAATACTTTCAACAAGTATTATAGAAAGTCAGCCACAAGCCTGGCCTTGGGGAGGCAGCAATGAACAAGGAACTCACCCTGGGGAGGGGCCAGGTCAACACAGTGGGATAGGGCTCTGTTGGGGAAACCGAGGGAGCACAGGGGTGGGGGGGCCAAGTTCCAGCTCCGGGTAAGAGAAGGATTGTGCTCCCCCTTGTGCCCATAGGGTCGTCTTCTGTTGTTTCATTTCATTGAATTTCCCACTAGCAACCTACTCTTCTCTCAGCTCCAGCCAGCTATGGGGCACAGAGGGGAGCAGGCAAATGGGTCTCTCCCTCCCAGCTCTCTGTCATCTCCTCCCCTCTATGACCTCTGGTGCCAGAAGTCCTCCTGGTCAATAAAGAGCTTGCAACTCATTCACATTCAAGTGTAAAAGAACTGACAATAGCTTAAAACAGTGATTTGCACTTTTACATATATAAAAAGAAGTTTCTCGGGTTAAAGAGAGAACCACCTTCCCCAGTCCCCACCTGTGGGGGACCCTGAGGGGTTTAAAGAGCCAAGTTTGGAAAACCACTCTTCAGGGCTCCGTGAGACCCCTGAAATGTATCACAATGTGTGTTCACATGGATGTTTTGTGGGTGGACGAATTCTAGAGCCACGTTGTCCAATACAGTGGCGGCTGGCCACATGTGCTATTCACATTTAAAGTAGTTGAATTTAAATAACATTAAGCTTTCAGTTCCTCAGTCGCCCTTGCCACAGTTTGAGTGCTCAGTAGTCACCACAGCTGCCGTGTTGGGCACCACAGACAGAGCACAGTTCCACCATCACAGAAGGTTCTGTAGGACAGCCCTGATCTAGAGACTGCATCAGCTTTTCAAAGGCCTCCAAGACCAGAAAATGTTAAGAGCCACTAAGTCAGGCTGGTGAAGGTTCATCGAAGGAGACAGAAACTTTGCTGGGGAGTCAAAAGCGCACCATTGTGACAGAGGTTCTGAACAAGTCTGCCTTTGAGTAATCTTTTTCTCCTCTAAAATCCCTTAAAAGACATCCGGGGGCCGGCCCAGTGGCATAGTGCTTGAGTTCATGCATCCGCTTCAGTGACCCAGGGTTTGTGGGTTCAGATTCCAGGAGGGGACCTACACACTGCTCATCAAGCCATGCTGTGGTGGCATCCCACACACAGAATAGAGGAAGACTGGCACAGATGTTAGCTCAGCAACAATCTTCCTCAAGCAAAAAGAGGAAGATTGGCAACCGATGTCAGTTCAGGGCCAATCTTCCTCACACACACACACAAAAAAGACATAAAGATTTTATGCTTTATTGTTTATCTCCTGCCCCCATTTTTAGAAAGGGACACTTGAATTCTAAAAATATTTGCTCTAAGGAAGGTGCTCTAGGTTCCCCAGAGCCTGTGAGCCCAGCACGAGTCGTGGTGGGAAGTGAGGGCAAGCGTGCAGTGACCTTGTCTCCTTTGCTATGTGTGATCTTTGCAGGTGGGAGAAGCAGTCCTGGAAAACGCCCGGCTCATGCTGCACACGGAGAATATCCAGGCGGGTGCAGACGACTTTAAAGAGAGGTACACTCTGCAGCAGAGGGGACAGTCCCTCCCCATGCCCAGATTCCTGGGTGACCTGGAGCATTCACCTCCCACCTCCTGGAAGGCTGGGGTGGGATAACAGAGGCCCCGGGACAATCTGAGCCAAGATGGTCCAGCTCAAGCCCTCCTTGTAGATACACACTAAGCCCCAAGGGCTCTGAGATTTTTCCCAGGGTCACTGGGTTTAGAGCAGGGGTTCTCAAAATCATCTGTGCTTCAGAGTCACCTGGGATCGCTGTGCCCTACCCTCGGAGGTTTTGATTCAATAGGTCTGGGGTGGGGCCCCAAATATACATTTCTAACAAATTCTCCATGACGCTGATCCTTCTGGTCCTGGGATCACACTTTGAGAGCCACTGCTTCAGAGCAATGCTTCTCCATCATGCCTGCATATTAGAATTCCCTGGGGCGCTTAGAAATGCAGTGCACAAGCCCCACAGAGAAGTGAAACCAGTCCCTGGGGGTGGGGCCCGGCTTCAGTATTTTTAAAGCTCTCCAGCCTTGAGAACCACCTCTGAGGTCTAATCCAGTGTTTCCTAAAATAAGGCGTGTATACTGTTGATGAGATCATTTTAAGTGGTAGAAAGATAAACATTTTATTTTTAATAGTTACATATTTATTTTTATAGTTACCTTCTATTTATGACCCATGAAACTTTTTCCACTATAGTATTACCGTTTATAGTAGCAATTGAAAATTTGCTGCTTTCCCTGTAAATAGCTTTGAAAGTTTATTGATTTAAGATTTACTTTTTAAGTAGGTAAATTTAAGGAACAACATAAAGTAAATAGTGATATGAGAGATGGGCATTTAGGGCAAAACCGTGAAGGGGAGTGAGAGTTAGGAAACTGTTCTAATAGAAAAGCGAAATGAAGAGACCCTTTTATGGGTGAACACAGAGATTTTGAGAATACTCTGTGGACAAGGTGGCCTGGATGTCGAGCAACTGGATGGGTGATGGGATTGTTATTCAAGGGAACATGTCCCTAAGTTGGTAAGACAAAGAGGACAGGCAGATAGTTGGAAGTCTTTGGGGCAGACCACAACCCCACTGTCACTCTCATCTTAGGAAGAGAGGGTATTGCGATGAAAAGGAAAATCTCTACCATCCTCTCAGACCCTGGGTCATTTCCTTTCTCTAAGCCAAGCTTCTCCGTCTGCTAAAGAATCTCCATTAGTGGCCACTCTGGAGTCAAGGAGACTCTCAACCGGCCAGGGTTGCTGTCTTGCCCAGCACTGTGCTGGCCCGGGTCACAGGAGCACGAGGAAGGGAAGCCAGCATGCAGCCACTGACAGCTCATTGCAATTAAAGACAGCTGCTAACAGATCTGAAACCATCTGCGCTGAACTTAGGGTCGAATTTAGTTAATTGTGAAATTAAGGGAGGACCTGACTGAAATTTCTTTCACTCATTCATTCATTTATTCACTTATGCATTCATTCATTCAAACATGCCTTCATACAGCCATTCAACAGAGTAGGACATAAAATTGGTCTATTTTGTTTCCCATTGTATCACCGGCGCCTATAAGAGTGCCAGCACAGGACAGATGCCCCACAGATATCTGTGGAATGAATGAACAGATGAATGAATTCAAGAATGTCTGAATATCTGCCAGGCACCTTGCCAGGAGCTTGGAATGAAGTGAACCTGACCTCAAGGAGCTCACAGTTTAGTGGCGAAGACAGAGGAGTGAACAGACAATAGCATTAGAGAGCAATTGTGCCATCACTGAGACGAACACAAGTGAAGTGGGGACATTTAACTTGGCCAGGGAGGGCTGACACAAGAGGTGACAGCTGATTTGGGTCCTAAACTCATATAGGAGCTGACCAGACAAATAGAAGAGACACGACTTTCCAGGCAGAGGGGACACAATGTGCAAAGGCAGGACAGAGAAAGCAGGGTGCCTTAGTGGAATTCCAAGTAGGTCATTGTAACTGGGGCATATGGAGGGAGTGAGGAGGGTGCCAGAGAGAAAGAACTATTCCTCTACCCTCTAGGTTCTTCTGGCTAATCTAAGAATTAAGTTGACATGAGACAGAATAACAGGAGAAAATCATACAAATTTAATAACATGTATATGTGGAAGAAACCCAGGAAAACTGAGTAACTCGCCAAAATGGCTGAAGCCACCACCTTAAATACCATCTTCAGCTAAAGACAAAGGAGGACGCTGGGGGTAGAGGTTTGAGACTTCAAATGGGAGGAAGGCAATTCATGTGGAGATGGAAAAGCAAATGTTTGGTAAACAAATGTTTGCCATGCCTTGCAAAGACAATGGGACATGGAGAGGACTTTGATGGAACAGGCCTTGCTAGGTTCCTCCCTGTCTACCACACCTAGTTCATATTATACTATAGTTGTCTATGGTGATAGTTTCTTCCTGGCACAGGCCTTCTATCTTAAATTCTTTTAGGCAGTTAGAGGTGAGGTCAAAGTTTCTTCCTGAGTCTTTTGCTCTTAAAAATAATCAAGTCAAAGAGACACATTTTGGGGTAGCAAATTCTACTTCCCTGCAGGGAACAACCAATGCGGCTTGAAAAGCAGGGAGAGACCAAATCCCGGACGACCATGTGAGCCATAGCAAAGGGCTTAGAGATTATCTGAGAGGAGACCCATAGAAGGGCTTTGAGCAGTGGTTTATCATGACCAGATTTTAGCTTTAAAGGAAGCTTTGCATTGGGGAAGAGGAGAGGCAGGGAAAATTAGCAAGAAACAATGGGAGTGAAGAGACTGGACTGATGGAGGGGTAAGGTCGGTATTGGGAGCAGTGGTTGGAAAGTAAGGTGAGATCAGATTATGGAGGGGCCAAAGGATGACATTTAAGGCTTCTAAGCAGAGAAGTGATTTAATGTAGTTAAGGATGGTCACTCTGGGGGCAATGCTGTAGGTCTGGGGAGATAATGGGAGGCTGCTATCGCTCAGGGTCTGCCTGGGATGGTAAATGGCAGGCTTGAGGGATGGGTTGAAGAAATAATTGGCAGGATTAGACAATTATCTACATATATAGCTGGAAAAGAGAAGGCAAAGGTAGGTTCCAGGTTTTGAACTTGGGTAATTTAGAAGACTTGTGGTTCTATTGACCGAAATAGAAAATTGTGGAGGGAAAGCTTGTCTAAAATTCATGGGTAGGTATGAGTTTGGCTTTGAGCAAGCTGAGTTGAGCTGATGGTGGAGCAACCAACAGAAATTGTGGGATGCTATTGAAGATGCTGGCCAGAGTGGCCTGCAGGTCCAGATGAGACAGTTGCAGGGTCATGAGCACAGAGATGCTAATTGAAGAGTTCAAAATGGAAGGGAAAGGGGCAAAGTATAGTGAGAGAAAGCTGAAAGCTTAACAGCAGCCTTGGGGGCTATCACAGAGGTATTTCTAATCCTCAGAGGACTTCAAAAACCAGTCTGTAGGACACCTAACATGAAGCATATCCTGGAAGGAACCGGGCTCCCTGCAGAGGTGAGCAAAACAGGCCTCCAGAGGCACAAGGGGGCCTCCTGCAGCCTGGGTTACCAGGGACGCATCCCTGCGATAGGGGTGGGTTTTCATTTCAGCTGGAACAATAGGACTTGTTTCCAAAAGGACAAAATGTTGATGATACAGTCTTTCATAAAGAAGACATTTGGGTAGACAATCTAATCCTACATGTAACTTCTTCAGAAACCATCCCCTAAGTGCTGATTCAAAGGTGCGGGTCCAACTCTGAGGAAAGTCTCTGTCAGTGTGCCACAGGGCCTTGGTTCCGTCATTTACTATTTTTAAGTGCAAGGTGCATGAAAGCAGGTGAGGCAAAATGGCAGAAGGCACAAAGCCAGGAGGGGCAGTGAGGAGCAGAATGACAGAATCAGGATTCAAAATGATCCCAACACGTTGGAACAATGGGCCAATGAAAGTGAAAGAGGATAAATATGAACTCCTACTTTTGGGTTCAAATAACCAGCTGCGCCCAGAGAGGACAGGGAAACTGGGCATAAGGCAGTTCTTGGGAAAAACGCTCATGGTTCTAGTTGACAGGAGGCCCAATATTAGTCAGCAGCAGATACAGCTGGTCAAAATCAAATGAACAAGCATACGAACAAAACCCCACAAAGCAAATCTTAGGGTCCACGAGGAATGTAATTAAAGAGCTTAAACAGGGGTCGGCCCTGTGGCACAGTGGTTAAGTGCGCACATTCTGCTTCAGCGGCCCAGGGTTTGCTGGTTGGGATCCCAGGTGTGGACATGGCACCGCTTGGCAATCCATGCTGTGGTAGGCGTCCCACATTTAAAAAGTAGAGGAAGATGGGCATGATGTTAGCTCAGGGCCAGTCTTCCTCAGCAAAAAGAGGAGAATTCGCAGCAGCAGTTAGGTCAGGGCTAATCTTCCTCAAAAAAAAAAAAAAGAGCTTAAACAAAGGAGCAGACAGTCCCACAGGACTCTGAATGGATCTGGCAAAATCTGGAGGTTTGCATTCCGTTCTCTGTATCACATTTTAAGAAGGACCTAGACCAACTGGAGCATTTCTGATCATTCCACAAATATATCTGAAGCCTGGAGCTGGGTGCTGGGAATACAAAGATGGGAAAGTCATCGTCCCTGCCTTCGGATGAGGTACATGGAAACCAATTTATACAAAGAATGGAGGGAGGAACTGTGAATGTTTAACGTGAGGAACAAAAGGCTTGAAGGGGTAGGGAGGATGGGTGGAGGGGAAAGAGAGAGTGACACAAGAGACAGTTGCTAAATGTTTGTAGGATTGCCGGAAGGAAGGGTTAGAGTGACTCTGGGTGTTCCAGAGGGTGGAACTCAGACTCTCACAGGAATGGAAACTTAAGCTCTTGAAGGAAGAAATTTGCAATAATTAGAGAGAGCTGTCCAAAAATGGAATGGTGGCCTTGAGAGGCGATGAGTTCCCCATCACTGAAAGAATTCAAGCAGAGGCTACATGATCACCTATCAAGAATGCCAGCAAGGGATCGTCACTGGGTAGGAGTTTGAATAGTTGAACGTTAAAGTCCCTTAAAATTCTAAGACCCCACGAGGCTTTCTGGAATGAGAGGCGTGAGATTTCTTCCTTCTGTGGATGGATGAAGGTAATGTGTGAAATTTGGCTGAGTGGTACAGCTGGGTGGAAGGCCATGGAAGGAAAGGAGTGACACTGGGAGAAACTGGCCAAGTTGTTGGGTAGTTTGTAGAAAGAAGGCCCTGTGCAAACCAGAGATTGAAAGAACTCAGAGTGGGCAGTTTCAGCCTTTGTCAGTGTGTGTGCACACACGTGTGCATGTGTGTTATTACATAAGTTGTAAGTTTTTAAAACTCTGGATATTTCACATAGCAGTCCGGTTTTCCGATTTCTCTTGAAGAGAACAGACAGCCCCCTTCCCACACAGCGGCGATGGGGAGGGGCTGAGCAGCACCCGGTTAGGTACAGGGTGAGCTGTCATATGTGCTCCAGTCCCCACCTCTCCCTGTTGCCTAGACCTGGTCCTCCTACCTCGTCTACACTCCCCACTTGGCCTCTGAAGGCATGAGGGTTTGCAGCCACCCCCCTGAAATTTCGCGTGGGCTCTTCCGGGATAGAAACCACGTTCTCCCTCTGGGGATCACCAGCACAACTGCCCGGTACTTAGCAGAGTCTTGGTAATGTTTGTTAAAGGATCTTCAGGGGAAACGGATGACAAATCAGAATACTAACGATGATGCCAGATCCCCTTGCCTGGATCTGAACTCCTGGAGAAGCTTTCCCCAGAATCGCTTTCATTTTAATAAATCAGCACGGAACAGTTGCGTCGAGTGCCCTCAAAGCTGTCAGAACAGTGACTTTTAACCTTCATTGTCTGACTATCACATAGTCGGCCTGTTGGTAACATCTATAATCTGATTCTTTTTTTGTTTGGGTCGCCCAGCTATGTGATGACATTCCTTTATCTGCAGATATGAAAACGAGCAGCCGTTCCGAAAGGTAGCGGAAGAAGAAATTAACTCTCTGTATAAAGTCATCGATGAAGCTAATATGACAAAAATGGATCTGGAGAGTCAAATACAGAGCCTGAAAGAAGACCTTGGCTTTCTGTCAAGGAGCTATGAAGAGGTAGGTGGGGGCTGGGGTGATGCTACGGGACCAGAGGCGCTCACCTGTCGGGCCGACCTTCACAACATAGGTGATAGTGGCTCATCTCGGCCTCTCCACATCACTTACCCCAGGCTGCAGGGAAAAGGCCAGTAAAATACTCTCAATCCTTGCAGTGGGTCAGGTACCCTGGGAATCTCCAACTCAAATGGCTTCAGGCCCAGGCTGGTACATAAATGGGGGAGGCAGCAGGTCCAGGGAGTAGCGAGTGATGGAGCCTGTGTTGAAGGGCACGGAGCTTCCTCTCCCTTCAGGGGTTCTAGTCCAGATCTTTTTCGCCACTATATAGGACAAACAAAACAACTCTGAGGGTAGATCCAGGCTGTGGTTTACACACACTTGCTAATGAAATTAGGTCAGATTGTTGAGTGACGAAGGGGACTGAAGGGGACTGAAGGGGACCCCACCGGTCAGTGGTCCAGTGCCCTGCAGAACTGCGCTGATTCTAAACCACCTCACACAGGTCGTTGTCTGATCTGAGAGCTAAAGTGCTTGCAGTTGAAAAAGTCAAAACCTACTTAATGTGCTCACGTTAGGAAGTTCCTTCATTTGTCTGACCTTAAGCTGACCAGGAACCAATAAGCCCACTTGGTCCTGTTCTTAGCTCAGGGGTCTGCCACCACTCTCCCACAGTAACCCTCTAGAGACCACAAAGTTATCTTTAAATGTCTTTCAGCCTACTCTGACTTTATGCAATTCATAAATTTCATCTTGCTGTTGTTGCTTACTCTGTGTTGTTATTTTGTTACTTATTTATTTTGATTTTTGTGTTGGTGGGCCTGGCCTTGTGAAGACCAGCCTAAGAAATGCATCCTTGGGAAAAGAGAATATGGCACCTACGCAGGGAAGTGGGGCTTTGCCAGTCTCTGTGAAACCCCATATTTGGCCGTAACAGAACGAGAAGTAACAGTATTATCCACAGAGCTGGGCTTCTGCTGGCTAGAATTCTATGTCTTTTCTTTCCTCTCTGGAACTCACCTGACATGTATATTGTCATTTTCAGGATGTGAAAATGCTGTACAAACAGTTGGCAGGGTCTGAGCTGGAACAAATGAACGTTCCCATTGGCACTGGTCTGGACGACATCCTTGAGACGATCAGAATTCACTGGGAGAGAGATGTCGAAAAGAACCGGGTGGAGGCAGGAGCCTTGCTCCAAGCCAAGGTGAGAGGCAGGACCAGCATCCTCCACTCTGCCCCGTGCAGAAGGAGGCCAAGCAAAGATGACAAGCAGTCAGCATGCAAAAGAAAATATGCAACAGTTTCAATCTCTAGACATAAAAGAAATGCAAATTCAAATAATAGATTTGGTTACCTGTCTAAATGCAGAGAATGTTTTAAATGGTAGTACTCAGTGCTGGCAAGTATGTGAAGTAGGTTCTCTCCTATACTATCGGGGAGCACAAACTAGTATGAGATCTTTGAATAAGGGCTATGATGATATGGATCAAGAGTCTTAAAATGCCCCTACTCATCAGTTGAATAATCTGGACACAATCCTAGAGAAATCATTGAAAATACAGATAAAGTTTACATCCAAAGGTACTCACTGAAGCATTCATTATAAGAGTGAAAAAACTGGGGGGAAAAACACATAAATGTTTAATAATAGGAGAAAGTCTAAGCTACAACCTAACCATGCCGTGAAACAGCAGGCAGCTATTAGAAATGGTATTTATGAAGCATTTATCACAACATAGGAAATGCTCCTGCAATAAGGTAAGATGAGGGGAAAAGAGAGTACAAAATGGTATATACCAGGGGCCAACAAACTTTTTCTGTCAAGGATCAGATAATAAATACTTAGTCTTCCTGGGCCAGACAGTCTCTGTTGCAACTACTCAACTCTGCCATCATAGCGTGAAAGCAGCCGTAGACAAAGGTAACAAATGAGCATGGCTGCGTGCCAATAAAACTTTATTTACAGAAATAGGAGGTGGGCTGGGTTTGGCGTGTGGGCTGCAGTTTGCCAGCCTCTGTTATACACAGTAGGGTAAAGCATTCAAACAAAGAAACGAAGCATCAAGAAAAGATTAGAAAGAAAACACTAGGGGCCGGCTCCGTGGCCGAGTGGTTAAGTTCGCACACTGCACTGCGGCGTCCCAGCGTTCGGATCCTGGGCACGGACATGGCACCACTCGTCAGGCCACGTTGAGCCGGCGTCCCACATCCCACAACTAGAAGGACCTGCAGCTAAGATATACAACTCTGTACGATGGGGGTTTGGGGAGATAAAGCAGAAAAAAAAAAAAAAAAGATTGGCAACAGTTGTTAGCCCAGGTGCCAATCTTTAAAAAAAACAAGAAAGAAAGAAAGAAAACAGTAATATGTGATGGTGTTAGCAGTGGTTGTCTTTGAGTGAGGGACCTAATTGACACATTTAGATGTTTTTTCTAGTTTTTGAGTATTTCTCAAGTTTTTCTTAAGTAGCATGAATTATATTCACGGAAGCAAAACATCTTTTATTAAACCACAAAAATAATGAAGGAATTGGGGCCGGCCTGGTGGCGCAGTGGTTAAGCACGCACGCTCCCGCTTCGGCAGCCTGGGATTCGCTGGTTCGGATCCCAGGTGCAGACCAGGCACCACGTGGCAAGCCATGCTGTGGCAGGCATCCCACATACAAAGTAGAGGAACATGGGCACGGATGTTAGCTCAGGGCCAGCCTTCCCCAGCAGAAAGAGGAGGATTGGCAGCAGTTAGCTCAGGGCTAATCTTCTTCTTCTTCAAAAAAATAAATAATAATAATGAAGGAATTAACCAGAAAATGGAATGCATAGGGTTTGTTCTTCCCTTCTCCATCTCACACCCATGTATGACTTTGCAATTTTGAGGCAGAGGATGAAAAGAGCAGAAGAGGAAGGAGAGCATGAAGCAAGCAGGAGAATGATGTCGCTGTTTGAGAGGAAGCAAGCAGGCTGCTCCTGTGCTCTTGGTGACCATTTAGTGGGTCTCAATCCTGGCTGCACAGCAGAATTATTTCAGAGCATTTTTGAAAGTGCCCACGCCCAGGCCCCATCCAAGACCAATTAAATCAGGAGAGGGACTCAGTGGTTTTTTAAGCTCTCTGGGTGATTCTAATACACAGCCAGGGCTAAGAACCGCGAGTGTTTACAGAAGCTACTAAAAGACAACCAGAGGGATCTTTTCTGTTCTTTCTCCTCCCAGGCCCCCTCAGCCCCCAGCCCCCGAGTATCCAAAGGAACCTTCCCAGCAGGGTCTTCACCAACTCTGGATCCCCTGATGCTCTCCAGCCCAGGAAACAGCTTCCACTCCCCTGTTTCTCCATCCTTTCCCCCTTTCAACAGCTCCTTTTCTTTCTAACCTTCAATTCCTTGGACCAATTCACTACAAACACTTTTTATGGAAAACAGTGCCTAGTAACTCCACGAAATGCAGCCCCTACAATTGGGTGAGAGGTGGAACAGCACAGGGGGAAAGTGGAGCAGAACCAAGTCTTGATGTCTGTCCACTGCTTCTTTTTTAGGGGACTCAAGAATATTTACAATTAATGACCCTAGAGACCATCCAGTCCTATTCCGTCCTTTTAGAGGTGAGGAAACCGAGCCCCAGAGAGGGTAGTTGATGTCCTGAGGTCCCACAGCTGGTTGGTAGCACCATCGCTCAGCTCTCCTGGCTCTGGGTCCAGGGACCTTTTCTCCACATTGGGCTGTCATTTCTTTGACTCGGTTCCCAAAACTAAACCTCAGTGGCCCAGCAGTTTGCAACCGTGCTTCTGTCCCAACACTCCTGGGGTGTACACCACACTGTAGTGGTTATTTCTCTGGGCAGGCGGGGAGGGGCGCTGTAATTAACAGGAATAAATCCAGCATAGTGTGAAAGAGAAAAAAACCCTGGTCATTATTATTCACCCCTCACTCTCTTGAGAATCATCACCAGCCCAGCAGTAATTCAAACATTAATTCTGAACAGATTCATTAGTGTTTTTTTAATAGAGTAATCTGAAAGCTACATCTCAGAGAAAACAGACAGGACTTGTTTTAGTTCGGCCAATGCTGCCTGGGCCCCTTGCAGAGAGGTGGGGCTCAGAAAATATTTGCAGAATGAGTGAATTCCTCTGATCATCAACAGAGATCAGAACTGACAGCCAGAAGTCCTCCAATAAATAGTTTTGTCAGTTGCAGTCCTGCCCTCGGGGGCTGACATTTGCCCATCCCGGAGCATCTCTTGTCTGTTTCTTGGCAGCAAAGCACAAATGTGAAATGGCTTAGCACACACTGCTTTCAAAACATTTTGCAGAGAGAATACAAACATGTATTTAATTACCTTTCAGCCCGGGGAGGCTGGAAATTAATTGACATGATTAATTTATGTCTTTGTTTAGGTTCCCCCAGAAACTGATCCTGAGATAAATATTGAAGTAGACGTGGTTTATATGGAAGTTGGGAGGGAAGAAAAACCTCAAATACTGGTAGAGAAGCAGAGAAGGGAACCAAAGAAGAAGGCATCATCCAACTAGCTACACTGTGGGAGACTGGCTGTACCCCAGGGGTCCTGGGGAACAGGATAGAATACCAGAGAGGGGGAAGGCGAAGAAGCTGGGGTAGTGGTACCACCTCCCATCAGTCCTCTGCCAGCTGCTCTCAGAGTGACCTTTCAAAGACTTTAGAGCAAGCTCGCTCAGCAAAGAGGTGCAGAATCTCACAGTGGGAAGGAAGCTGGGAGAACTAACTTGTTAAGGCTTAAGGGGTAAAGGTGGATGCCATCAGTATCTGCAACAGCTTATCAGCCAACTCTTCTTTTTTTGGTGAGGAAGATTGGCCCTGAGCTAACATCTGTTGCTAATCTTCCTCTTTTTGCTTGAGGAAGATTGTCGATGGGCTAACGTCTGTGCCAGTCTTCCTCTATGTTTTGTATGTGGGATGGCACCACAGTATAGCTTGATGAGTTGTGTGTAGGTTCACATCCGGGATCTGAACCTGTGAACCTCCGGCTGCCAAAGCCAAGCATGCGGACTTAACCACTACACTACCGGGCAGGCCTCTCTTCTTACTTTTTAATCGTTAAAAGCTTAGAAAGGTTCTGGGTAGGTTCTGTCCTGCCACAGTGTCATGGATGTTGGGAACCTCGGTGGTCTGGTTTTTGGAGCTTCTCAAGTTGTCTGCTTCAGTGTTTGGGGTGATCGGGTTGGTCCAGAGAATTTCTGGAGGGTCTTAAAGTCTGGCGCTTCCTTTTCTGTTTGTTGTGGTTACCCATCTCACGGTATTTGGGGATGATTGGGGAACCCCATGACACGCCAGCCACACTACCCTCCAGACCTCCTGACCAGCCGCGGAATACACTCCCCAGTGTGCAACCAGCAGAACTTAAAAAGGCCACCTTGGGGAATATCAAAGGGCCACTATCATTCACTTGGTTCCGCTGGGACATTTCCATTCTGTGGACTGACAAACAGAAGAGAGAGTCCCCAAGGCAAGTATGCTCCACCCTGACCTTGGCCGGATTAAGACCTCGCAGCGCCCTTCTTCCCTGAAACTTGTATTGAACTTGTGAGTGCATTGAAATCACTCCATCAGTCATCGTTAAAAGACCTAAAATTCAAAAATAAAATTGATAACCCTGTGAGGCCATTTGTGCTGGCTAGACCTCTGACATCCTTTCTGCTCATCCAATTCTCACAACAGCCTCGAAAGCAGGAACTACTGGTACTCCCATTTCACAGATGTGTTTATTGCTAACAGAAAGAAAGGGAGGCAGGAAGGGAGGGAGAGCGGGAGGGAGGGAGGAAGAGAGGGAGGAAGGGAGGGAGGGAGGGGAAAGAGAAGCCAGAGCTTCTAGTTTCCCTGCAGCCAGACTATTTCCACGAAGTTTTCCTTTCACAGATGCAACCATTTCAAAGGTCCTTTATCACCAACAGGAAAATGATGCTTAGGGCAGCCAAAAAGACACTTTCAAAAATATTATGCAGTTATCGTTTTTCATGTCCATTATGATAAATATAATCAAATGTTTCTTCCAACTGACCTTTTCCTTACAATGTGCAGTCCTCCTGGCAACAGGGCCCCCAAGCAGGCGAAGGGCTTCCCAAGTTTCTAGACCAAGCTGCTTAGGGTTCAGGAGGTTGACCTTTGCACTTCAGTGTGCCTATTGATGGGTTCGAGGTCCTCCCCCAAGAAGGTGTGGTATATTCATTTTCTGTTGCTTTGTAACCAAGTACTGCAAACATAGTGGC